TCAACTTTGACACACACACACACACAAACACACACACACTCACACACATGCATAAGCATCCTTAGTCTGCCTTTAGTACATAATCAAATAAAACTTGAAAATCTCCAAAGCTTGAAGACTGAAAATGCACATTAGTGTTCTAAAGGTTCTAAAAAACCTACAGTCATCCAATTTTGCCTAACCTAGCATTTTTCAAAGTTACTGAGTCACACGTTCCTTAATTCTTATAACAGTATGTTCTGCCAAAACACTCCTTTGGAGCTGAGCATGGTGGCACGCATCTGTAATTCCAGTATTTGGGAGATGGAGGCAGGAATATTACTGCAAGTTCAAGACTGGCCTAGGTTATATAGTAAGTTCAAGGCCAGCCTGAACTACATAGCTAGACTCTGTTTCAAAACCAAACCAAACCAAACCAAACCAAACCCTCTAAAAACAAACAAAAACCTCTACCCTTTTAGGAACTGCTTCTCTGATAAAGCGGTGGTTTAAAAAAAAAAAAAAACCTTATAGTGTAATCTCAAATGAATAACAATGAGGATACAAAGACTTACTTTCCTCTTTTTTAAAGAAACTAGTTTATTTTGCTCTATTCAGCATTCTCCTTTCAGAAAGACTTGACTTGAAGTTACACTTCTATTATATCATTGGTTAAGACTGTTAATGCTTATCAGTAACCCATGGCATAATTTACTTGAAAAAAATAATTTTTTAATATCCTTTTTAATTCCTAGAGTACTTTTCTACCTCTATCGTATTAGTCTTAAATCCAGAGCAAGAATCTAGGTTCTTAGTAGTCACTATATCCCAACAATGGTTTCTGGGTGTCTTAGTTACTTTTTACTCATTGCTGAGACAAAATACCTGAAGCCCAAGTTGGGAAAGGAAAGGTTTATTTCTTAACAGTTTTTGGAGGTTTCAGTCCATACTCAGTTGGCTCCAAGGCAGGTGGGCATGGCTGGGCCACAGTTCATGGCAGCTACAAACAGCAAGCAGGAACCAGCAAAGAGCAAGACACACCTTCTTCCTGCCATTACATCACATCCTGGCTCCACCCCTATATGGGTGGAGCACTGACACCATCAATCCAAGCACTAGACAATGAACCATCACAAATGCACAATGCAAACTCATGAGGCCTGGGGGCCACAGACATAAACCATGACACTGTGTTATATTATAATAAATAAAACAATATAAAACAAAAATCTTTCATCCTTACATCTCTCTGAAAATCAGCATTTTGAGTATCTAAATGAAACTTCAACTAAATCTTCAGTAGGATCGCTGACATATGACACATAACGAATTTTTAAAAAATATGAAAACATTAAAAAAAGCAAAAATAATTCTTATTATCAAGAACAGATAGAAAAGATCCTCACTGAAAGCCAAATTATCTCTGGTGTTCTGCTCAGGATTTCAATTATAAAAATAATCAAACCAAGACAAAGTCAGTTAATACACCCCCCCATGACATCTCCTCCTTTAAATGTGCTCTCAGTGAACAACGTGTTTGCTGTCTTATCAGATCACAAATCCAAGGCAAAGAAGAAATACCACGTTAAGGATAAGAGGCAGTGTCTTAAAAAATGAACACAGGTACCATAAGGAAAAATGTAATTAGAAACATAAAATCACACAATGATATCTTAGGGAAAAGCAGTTCTGGAATTTGGTTGATTTTTCTTTTGTTGTAAGGCAAAGTCAATCTTTAGAGAAGCATTTGTTAGAGCATTTGTAGAGAAGCACTGTTTTCCTTTAAACTCAAGAATGAAATACAAAGTATTTGTCCTACTGCTTATTGTCTATATTGAAGCACTTATACTTGGTATTTAAAAAGCTAAGGTAATTGACAACTTATGAGAAACTACCAAAATTTAACTGGACTGGTAAATGCTTATTTCTGCAGGAGACTCAAAGGAATCACATACTACCAAATTCAAATACCATTTCTATCACATGAAGTTTTGTAAATAAAATGGTTTGCTAAGATATTATTACTACTGTTACCAGTTTCTATCTTTTTTGATGTTTTTTCCCATTTTCACATTCAAAATTTAACTTATCTCTGACTAAAATAAGCTTCTCCATTCCTTCATGTTAATGTACCTGGAAACTTTAAATAGTAATTATAAACAAAAATGCTTGCTTTATAAATTCTCTACTTTGCTAATACTCAAAAGACAACTTGAACATGGCTACACTGATATTTGTTAATGCCAACCTTTATGAGATTCAAAAAAAAGTTTTGCAGGAAACTCCAACTTCAGTCCTCTGTACAGTTTCTTAAAATTAAACAAAAGCACATTTACTCTTATAGTATCATGTCCACCATCACATACAAAAGACACTGGCTCACAGTATTTAGTTTAAGGCCGTGAATGATTTTTTCCAGAAAACTATGTTTTATTCAAAACATAACTGACTGGCTCGTCCAGACTCCAAATTTGTTTCTTTCCAAGAGCTTCCTGCAAGTGTGTTTGGTCTTTAAAATATCTAGTAATCATGGATAGCTTTCTACCATTTTATTTGCTTGTACAAAGAAATAAACCCAAGTGAGTAATTCAACATATAATTCTCACTTACCAAATCACATTTTGCCTCTTATGAAAGGTAATAGTTTGGAAATATCATGGGCTATACAAGCTTAGGCTTGTAAACACACTGAAAGTAGGGACGAACAAAAAAGTAAACAAATCATATTTATAGTCATCATTTCTACTAAGAAAGACAAGTACTTACTATGCTAAAATATGCTTTTTTGATTAAAACTTTAATACACAATAATTACAGTACAATTTTTGGTTGAGGTCTGTGTTCTGTAACAACATGAACTCTCACATTTCACAAATATTTAAATACATTTCTATTCCTCATGAACATTAGTATCGATAGAAGAAATTATTTAATCCATAATTAGTTTTTTTTACTTCACCTATGGGAAAAATTAGTTAAATTCACTTCAATTTTATAATGTTATGTTATGGTTTTTTCTCCTACAAATTTATTTTTTCATAGGCTAATCATAATTCTCCTGTTTTACATCTGTTTTATAGTTCTAAGCCACTTCAAATGTTTTTTGGAAGGTTTAATATAAATCACGATTGAAAATGATTAACCTTGACTAAAGTTTAGATGTCTTGTTGATGTGCTAATCACTTTTCTCCAATATACATTAATACTAGAAGACAATAAAGTCTCATGATCATGGCTTTCAATATAAAATACTCATGCCTATTTCAGATTGCTAGAATCTAATAACCTGTCTCTTAAGATGAATGAGATACACACATGCCTCCCACCCTCAAATATCCTGTTGTAGAAATAATGTGAACCCTTTAGTAACTTTCCCTAAAGGCACCCACACAGGTAAACTAGTCTTATAATACAATCTTGTTTCTCATTTAGTTAAAACTTTCAAGAAAAAAATATTCAGAATGACTTAAAGACTTCTGTATAAATAGCTACCTAAACACAACAAATTTGGAAGATGTGGATCAAACACACTCAACTTCACTCAGCTCCCATTAGGTAAGTCTCTCTATAACAAAGCTTCTTTTCCTAACCTATTGGTTTTTATAGGACTTGGTAAGATGTGATGATCACCATGGTAATCTTTTAAGACACTAATCAAAAACATAGTCCAACATTTTAAATACCCCAGGAGTGATCTTAGGACAACAGAAGCACTTCATCCACTGAAATAAGCAATCTTCTATTATGATGTGAGTCAAATTCCCACACAGCAAATCCTCGAACAGTTCAGCAACCAATGAATATAAAATAGTTTCTAAAAAATTCTGCTATCTCTGATTATTCCTTTGCATCTTTCAACTGTAGTTAAACTATATGGAAAACAACTGGTTGTCAGAAAGCTTGTGACTACATAATATGTTTCTTATAAAACATATTGGCCTGAGTCAAGCATGGAAAATTCAGACCTGATGCATAGTAGGTATTTTTGTTACCCTGGCTGCAGGCTCCTCCTGAGTGGTGTGTAACAATGGGCAAGTTTCATTCGTGTTTAATGGCCTCACACAGTAAAGAGAACCAACACATTCAGTTCTGCTGGAATCAATGAAACAAGGTGATTAAAGATGCACTACAAATACTTAGGTCTAAAGCCATCATATTGCCCAGCAAACAGAAACAGCCCTTGTTGGCCTGTACTGAACGCATTAGCATATGCTAATGTTGTACTGATGTGCATATTACTAGGTGAACATTAAATATAATCACTTTTAATATTTATATATGATATTAAACTTCTAAAAGATTAGACTTATAAGAATATATTTACAAAACACATTCCTCACTGCATTTTGAAGTTAAATACAGACTTTTTCCTTGAATTTATATTTTTCCTAATTTCTAAAATAGGCATCTAAAATAGGCATTTCTAAATAGAAGAAAAAAGACACAGCCATAGAGCCACATATTATGTAGTCAGACAGGTCTAAGAAAACTAAGTTAATAAACTGAAATTAGCTAAAATAAAATTAGGTAAAATAAAATAGGAATGCACATTCAGAACAGAATTGTAGCTTTTGGTCAGCAACACATAAACCAAAGATAAAATCTGTCAAAATTAAGCCAAGATACACACACACACACACACACACACACACACACACACACGCACGCACGCACAAGTACAATTTCTCCCACCCACCATATTACCACATTCAGTTAGCACTCACCTTTATTTAAAATGCATTGCTAAGCTAAAATACAAGCTGATTAATTTAAAAAAAGATGTCACACAGAGCTTTTGTTTTAGAGTCTTATACCTATTAACAGCATTTTCTTTCTGACCCTACATGCCTGGTACAAGAGATTATAACCATTCATACAACTAGGACCACAAAGCATGATGACCATTAGGGTGACAGCCGTTGTAAGGAATTACTTTCTTCTTCTGCTGGAGTCAATTTGAGTGTGGGCAGTTTCTGAGGAGGAAGCTGAGGGCTTTGACGAAGATTGTCATCCATCTGCAGGAAGTACAAAGGATACATCTGACTGAGCTGTGGCCCTACTTCTGCAGATTGTGGCCTTCCCTTCCAAATTATAGCCTGGAACAATGCATTATCATATGTTGTCGGACTACCTCAGAAACCTCTTTCTACAAATGATCTCTCAAGAATGGTAAATATCATATCACTAATACCTATGGACTATCTAGAAAGCAATGTGACTCACCCTTAATACTTTCACAGTTTACAGTAATTCGACAAAATGCAAATGAACTCACCCACGGATCAGTTTAAGGTCTTCAAACAGAGTAAAAACACTAATTCTATTATACTGAGCCCCAAAGTTTACAAAGTTTATGTAGGCCCAATGCTGCATTTGATTTTCCCAATATGCTGAAGAGGACAGCCAACACAGTCCTTCCTTGATGTACACATTAGCAAAATGAGGCTCAGAAACAAGTGATTTGTCTCAGATACAAAAGCTACTATGAGAGCTGAAACTTGAACACATGTTTTTTTATTGTAACACAACTATTCTTTCAACTTTTTGCCTCAAAGAAAATGACCTGTACTCTACTCAAAAAGACCAGTTCTTTCAAGTTGAGAGTATGTAGACCAACGGAAGTTAGAAAAAGAGGTAGAAAGACAAATAGTTTATACCTAATCCACACATCCTCCAACACTCAATCAGTTCAAGCCTGCCTTAAAGAAATGAATTAATATAAGCATACTAAGAAAATGCTTCATCCCAGCTAGCCACATGGGTCCCAGAGGTTCCAAACTCCACCCAGCCAGGCACAAGACTTCAGCAACACACTCTGGGGGTGTGTCCATGTTAGCTACTGGGTCCTGGAGATTCTGAACTGCAACCAGCCAGGCAAAGGCCCCATTGACACATTCCAGGGGAGCACTGCTACTAGCTAGAGGGTTTGAGCTCTTTCTAGCCCAGTGTCTCAGTGCAATCCATAAGGGGAAGGCCTGGCCAGCCTCACAGATCACACAGCACAAGTCAAGGGTGCACTCTGGTTAGCCACAGGGATATTGTGGTAGCAAAGCTCTGCCAGTGCTGTACTCCAGTGCAATCCATTGGGAGGATACCTGGCCAATCACATACATACCAGAGGAAAATGACAAAATGAAAGAGCAAGATACAGTTTCAGTCCTCCAGCCAACTGAGAATAAATCCAGGAGATGTTGAAAAGAAGACACTGGAAATCATACAACTGAACTGTCTGAAATGATAGCAACTGAAGTAAAGAAACAACTCCATAAAGCTACAGAGGAAATAAGATGAGAAATAATCTCTCAGGTAAAAAAGGAAATGACAAACATTATAAAAGAAATGTTGAGTGTATTTAAAGAAGATCTAGATAAAAAAATAGAGGAAGACAACAAAATAATGGAAACCTTGAATGAACAATGTAAGATAGAATTAAAATGCATGAAACAGATTCAAAGGGATATTCAGCAAATTAAAAATCTCACTGAAATGTGGCTAATCTGCTTGAATGAAGCTAAAGGTAGATTCTCAGACCTTGAAGACAGAATGGAAGATCTCTTAAAAATATCAATGAACCAGGAAACAACAATTCAACAGCTGCAAGATGATACAAAGAGAAACAATATAAGAAGCTGGTGTCAATGAAAAAACAAGGGTTACCACAAATGACATGCAAAGACTACTTACAGAAATAGTAGCAGAAAAGTTTCCAAACATGGGAAAAGAATCTGGTATGCAGATACATGAGGCATACAGAACCCCAATTAGATGTAACCAAAATAAATCTTTACCCAGACATAATTAGATATCAGAAAATCAGCAGAAGGACAGAATACTAAAAGCTGTCAGAGTAAACAAACAGATCAACTACAAAGGAAAGCCTATCAGAAGAACAGCAGACTTCTCAACACAAACCTTAAAGTCAAGCTTGTCGTGAAGTATTTCAAGTCCTAAAAGAAAACAAGTTTCAACCCAGACTGATGTACCCTGCAAAACTATCATTGAAAATTGATGAAGAAATAAGATACTCCCACAACAAAGAGCAACTTAAGAAATTCATGGCCACAAACCAACACTACAAAGAGTACTGAAAGATACTCTAGGAAGAGATAAAGGTAACAATTTCAAGAATATCAGCATGAGGAAACCACAAAGCAGGGCAAACAACTAAACCAGAAAAAGTAGACAAGTCAGTACATATCAGTTATATTATCAATGTCAATGGTCTCAACTGACCAATAAAAAGGAACAGACTGGTAGAGTGGATTAAGAAACAAAATTCAACATTGTGCTGTGCACAAGAAACACATTTAACTCAAAAGGAGAGACAGAAAGCAATACTCTATGCAACAGGAGCCCAGAACAGAGGAGAGGCAGCTATTCTGTTTGCAGACAGTGTAAGCTTCAAACCAAGAATGATCAAAAGTGATAAAGAAGGTCACTACATAATTGTTAAGAGGAAAACTTGAGGAAGGAGATTACAATCATAAATATATGTGCTCCAAATATGAGAGTACCCAACTATGCAGCCAAATCTTAATAGACATGAAAACTCACATAAGCAATAATATAATGAGAGACCTTAACACCCCATTGTCAAAATGAAACAGGCCAATCAAACAAAAAATCAGAAAAGAAATAAAAGAATGGGATCAAACTTGTGAACAAAGGGACCAAGTAGATGGGTACTGAGTGTTCTACACAGTAACATCACAATAAACATTCTTCTCAGCTGCACATGGGCCATTCTCTAAAATAAATCATACACTAGCCCACAGAACATGCGTAAGTAAATGCAAAGGAACTGAAACAATCTCATGTATGTTATCTGACCATAGTGCCATGAAATTGGAAATTAATACAAAAAAATTCCAAAAGAACCCCATAAACACAAGAAAACTAACACTCTCCTAAACAACCAATGGGTCACAGAAGAAATTAAAGAAAAAATTAAGCAATATCTACAGTTAAATGAAAATGCAAATACAATTTACTGGAACCTGTGGGACACAATGAGAGCAGTCCTCAGAGGGAAGTTTAGTGGTAAACTCTCACATTAGGAAAATGGAATAAACACAAATAAACAACCTAATGCTGTACCTCAAAATTCTAAGAAATGAAAAGCAAGTTATGCCCAAAGCCCAAAGAAGAGAGGAAATTATAAAGAGCAGAGTGGAAATTAATGCAATTGAAACTAAGAGAACAATACACAAAGAATCAATGATTCAAAGAGTTGGTTTTTTTTGAAAGAATAAATAAAACTGACAAACCTCTAGCCGATCTCATTAAAAAAAGAAGAAAGACAAAACTCAAATCCATGCAATAAGAAAAGGGTGAAATCACTACAGACCCTGTGGAAATACAGAAGATCATAAATACCTAACTTTAAAAACCTTTACTCTCATATGTTCAGTAACAGAGAAGAAATGGACAGATTCCTAGAAACCTATGAATTGCCAAAGCTGGATCAAGAAGTTGTAAAACTGCTGAAAAACTGAATTTCAGTTAATGAAATTGAAAACGTAATTAGAACCCTATCAACGAAGAAAAGCCCAGGTCCTGGTGGATTCACTGTTGAATTCTACAAGATAAGTCAACACTCTTTAAACTCTTCAAGGAAATTAAAAGGGAAGCAATTCTCCCTAACTCATTTCTGGAAGTAAGTATTACCCTAATAGCAAACCCGGAGAAATACTCAAGCAAAAAGAGAATTATATGCCAATCTCCCTAATGAACATAAAAGCAAAAATCCTCAGTAAAATATTGGCAAATAGAATGCAACAAACCATCAAGAAGATTATACATCACGATCAAGTGGAATTCATTCCAGGAATATAGGGGTGGTTCAACATATGTGAATCAATAAATGTAATACACCAAAGACAAGAATCACATGATCATCTCAACAGATGTAGAAAAAGCTTTCAACAAAACCCAACACTCATTCATTATAAAAACCCTAGAGAAAATCAAAATAGATGGTCTTTACCTCAATCTGATAAAAGCCTTACACAATAAACCAACAGCCAACATCTTACTTAAATGGACAAAAACTGAAAGTTTTCAACCTAAAGTCAGGAACAAGACAAGGATGTCCACTACCACCACTCCTATTTAATATAATTCTGGAAACATTAGCTGGAACAATTAGATAAGAGAGATAAAATAAAACAAATAAGGATAGAAAAGGAAGAAGCTAAATTATCATTATTTGCAGATGGTATGATACTTTATATAGAAGACCCCCAAAACTCCACTGAAAGACTTCTAGATATAATAAACAAATTCAGTAAGATAACTGGATACAAGGTCAACACTCAAAAGAATCAATAGCATTCCTATATACAAACAACAAACTCACTCAGAGAGAAATAAAGAAAACCACACCCTTCACTATAGCATCCAAACCAAACAAAAAAAGAAAGAAATTCTTAGGAATGAATCTGACAAAGAAAGTAAAAGATCCATACATGGAAAATTACATCACATTGAAAAAGGAAATTGAAGAACATTTCAGAAATTGCAAAGCCATTGCATGTTGATGGATAGGAAGAGTAAATACTGTGAAAATGGCTGTGCTCCCAAAACTGTTATACAGATTTAATCCAATCCCAATAAAAATATCATTTGCATACCTCACAGATCTAGAGAAATCATTTCTAAAATTCATCTGGAATCAGAAGAGACCTAGAATAGCAAAGGCAGTTCAGGGCAACAAAGGCAAGGCAGGAGGCATCACAATCCCCAACTTGAAATTATACTACAAACTGTGATAAAATCAGCATGGTACCAGAATGAAATCAGACTTGAAGATTAATGGAATAGATTAGAAGATACAGACACAACTGCAAAGAGACTCAGCTGCCTCATCTTCAACGAAGGGGCAAAATGTGTTCACTGGAAGGAAGATAGTCTCTTTAATAAGTGGTGCTGGAAAAACTGGCTTTCCATATGCTGAAAACTAAAATTAGACTCATGTCTATCACAATGCATTAAACTAAAGTCAAAATGGATCAAAGATCCAAATATTAGAACAGTAACACTAAATCTGCTGGCAGACAAACTTGGTAGAAATCTTAACACAGAAGTAGACAGAAGGTTCATGAACAGATATCAAACTGCATGTAAAATACTTCCCAGAATCCAAAACTGAGATCTTGTCTTACTAAAAAGTTTTTGCATACATGTAAAACTTTTCACTCTCCAACGGAGTGAAAAGAAAACCCATGGATTGAGAAAATATCCTAGCCAACTGTCCCTCAGACAAAGGACTTCTATCTAGAACATATAAAAAAATTTTAAAAATCAGGTCCTAAAATTCAAAGATCCAACCCAAAAATGGGTACCTGAAATGAATACATACTTCTCAGATGAAAAAATACAAATGACAAATATATGAAAAAATATTCAACATCATTGGTCATTCGAGAAATACAAACTAAAACAACACTGAAATTCCATCTCACTCCAGAAAGAATGGCCAAGGTCAAGATCTCAACCCAAAACAAATGATATAGAGGCTGTGGGGAAAAAGGAACTTTTCACCACTGTTGGTGGGAGTATAGGCTGGTGCAACCACTGTGGAAATCAGTATGGAGATTCCTCAAAAAGCTAGGATTAGAGAGACTCCATTTGATCCAGCTATCCCACTTTTGAACATTTTCCCAGAAGAATTGAAATCATACCATAGTGATACATGTGTACCCATGTTTATAGCAGCACAATTTGTAACAGCCAAATCTTGTAAACAACTCAAGTGCCCATAAATCGAGGAATGGATAAAAAAGATGTGGTATTTTTTATATAATGGAGTACTATTTAGCTATAAAGAAAGATTACATTGAGGCTTTTATAAGTAAATGAATGTGACTTGAGACCATACTCATAAATAAATCAAACTCACATGTGTAAATACCATACTGTCTCCCTAGTATAAAAAACTGAGAGCAAATATGATCCAAAATCTACAATAAATATTGTGTAAGGGCAGGAAATTCAAAGAGGAAAAGTAACTGGGATAGGGGAAAAGAGGAAAGAAGAAAGGAAAAAGACATAAGTTTGTATATACATACATAAGATAGCTAAAATGACTATATACTACTAATTGTATTAGTTCTTGGAAAAGAACAGTTAGTAATTCACATGATTAGATCAATTCTGTATGTCTATATCGGGTAATCTAAGCGATCCTTTTGAAGGTAACAATATGCAATATTACAACCACTGTTACATTCCTATCATCTTGTTTTGAAACCTATAGTGTTATTGTTTTGGGTTTGTTGTTGTTTGCTTATCTCTGTTTCTTTTTATTTTTCTTTTGTTTCTTTCTCTTAAATAAAAAAAGATAAAATAAAAGTAATATAAAAAAGAAAATGCCCAAGAACTTCAGGTTTATCCCAAAGAAAGGCATATTAACACTGCTAGAAATAGTAGAATCTAGATTATTTATAACTCAGATCCTTGAAAACTACTTTTAACTACAGTACTCTACAAACAGATCTTGATGGTAAATTAATGTTCAGTTTAACCTTCAGTACTTGAAAGTAACTGCTATCCAAAAACACAAAACCAAGAGGAAATTATTAGAATCCTAATCCCTACTTGATAAGTAGGCTTTTTTTTTAGAGTTTTACATAAGTGCAGGATATTAAAAAATCTCCCTCTTCTTCCAAGATGTTCTTACGAATTTTTTTTCCCGCTAGACTGTGTTAAGATTATCTGGTTTTGAAGGTCTAACATGCCTTCATCATTCTGTTCTGATCAGTTTAATACTGTTTTTGTTTTGTATGAATTCATTGTGTGTGAAGATACGGACGACTATTTAAAAAAACAAGAGCCAAGAGCCAATATGAGAGACAGTGATGATCTCTTGTTGTCTTGCTTTGAAATCTGTGTCACTTACATTGTTTTCTTATGATCTGCCTTGTTACGTTTAGTTTTACCCTCTTTAAAATAAAATTTAAAAAAAAGATATCTTTTCTTTCTTGCTAAATTCCTCAAATATGATTTTTTTAACAGCTCTGGATTTTCTGTTCAAATTGTAAACAGTAATGGACAACAGAATCTGCTGCTACTGTCTTGTAGCAACCAGTAAATCACACATTTCCCTTTGTTAAGGAGAGATGAATGAGTGCAGAGTGGAGGGAAGGGAATGCCTGACTGAAATAGGTCAAGAACACCTTCATAAATTGATGAGCTCAGGTGCCCTTGGTTTTACCTTCTGTACAGCAGGTATTTCGGTGTCCCTTCCATATTTGGCCTGGATTTGTCAGATATAGAAAACGTAAACCACACTAGATAGCCTTCATCTAGTAGGCAACTGTTCTTTCTTTTACATGCACTTCATACTTCATATACTTTCATCATAAGGTTTCTTGAACTGAGCAAAGTACTGAGATAGACCAAATCAATTCTTACCAAAATTAATGCAACTTACCAAAATTTCATTAATTATAAATGCTTACAATGTTACTATCCAGTTTTATTTACTTCTCAAATTATAACAACACATGAAAAACTATAAAAGCAATTAAGTGGTCATCCTAGAGGATGACTGGCTGGCACCTCTAGCAACAGACACATAATCTCGGTTACAAGCTAAGACGGTTGACCACTGGAGAGAATAACTAATGCAAGGCTCATGCTAGAGTTCCATTTCTATGGCTCAAGTTCACGCCGTACTTTTTGGCAGGTGAGCAACCCTGGTAGTTGATTTAAGTTAGTTCCATAGCTTCAGTATCCACATCTGTAACATGGGGACCATAATAGTTATCTGTACACAGCTGCTCTGAGGTTTAAGTGAGCTAACTCAGATGACCCTCATATACTGAGATCATTAGATCTCAAAAAATATTAACCAGTAAAGGAATGAAGTATTTTCATTTATGTAAAAATCAAGCAAACAAACAAACAAAAAACTAAGATATATAACATACAAACACAAATTCCCTATGAGGAATGTGATCATTATGTGTATCTAAATTGCACTGATAAACTTAATTAAAAGAAAAAAGCAGGTTTATCATGCAACTGGAAAAAAAGTGCATATCTCTTGTACTTTTCCCAGTTAGAATCATCCTTGATATTTCCACTGTTGACACTTCCTCCCATCCAGTTCCTCAATATAATTCTTATAAAATAAACAAAAGTGGCAAACACGTATACTAGTAACCTCACTACATTTAAAACAGAAGACAGGAAGGAAAAAAACTAACAGAAAAAAATATGGTGCTATTAAGAGGAAAGACGCACAGAGAAAGAAACAAGAACCCTTGTCTGTTTTGCAGTACTGGGGATCAAATCCTAGAAAAATCCTTGTCAAATGCTGGACAGGTGCTCCATCACTGAGCTACCTCTCCAGTCCTTTTTATTTTTGAGACAGTCTTACTGAGTTGCCCAGGAAGGATATGAGCTTACAATTCTCCTGTCTCCGCCTCCTGAGTACCTGGGACTATAGGCATAGACTGCTGTGCCAGCCTTCTTTTTTTTAAGTTAGTCTTTTAGGTTTCTTAGCTTGACAAGTACATCTGTGTGGTAAAAGTAAACCCAATACCATTATCTGAACTTTCCCCACAGCAATTGGGCCACTAGTGGCTTTAGAACTTCAGTAAAAGTATAAACAACTTTCTGAAACATACTCTTCAGAAAATGGAGAAGGTAAAGTTAATGCATGGCCCATCATCCATCACAGAAAGGAAACTACTAGACTACTGTAAAACAATGATTGAAATAAACTTGACCTTTTCAATCAAGTTGGATTCCTTATTTACAAGTTGTGTGAGTTTCTGCAGATTTGCATCTACTGTTTCTTGTCCAGCTGGAGAGATGCCTAAGAAGCGAGGATAGAAATCAGAAAGACAAGAAATTTTGAAAGTCTATAAAGCCGTTAAGACTAACAAGTGCCCCACCCTCAAAAAAAAAAAAAAAAAAAAACGCAGAGAAAAATCATCTGGATTCAAAAGCAAAGTTAAAAGGGATAGCAATGCTCCAGTACCAAACCCTAAACAAAAAGACTAAAATCTCCACTGAGAAAAATCACAATCCAAGTGATACACAGTTAGCCTTAGTAATCAGTAAAAGCACAACATTTCTTATTTCCTCCTGAAATTTAACTTGTACTTTACCCTCTGGCATTTCAAACAAGTCTTTGATCATAACTATGTGGACAGCTTCGTAAGGCAGTGACTTCCAAACAGCTACTTACTTACACAAAATACTTAAAAAGACTTTAAAAAGTAGAGTTCTGGGACCTATCGCTAAATGATTCATTTAATTTAGGAAATTATGAACAGAACCTAATACATCTTATTTGTTGTGGAGTAAAGTTTGGTAGGCACTGCTCCAAAGTAACAAGCTTAAATGTTACTTAGTTTCATGACCTCCCATCTAATTCTTCCCAGTGTAATCCTATGTTTACCACCCTGAGCAAAAAATAAACAAACAAACAAATAGCTAGTGAGCAAGCTGTCCACCTAAGGCAGCTATCTTTGTAACTTTAGTTGCTTAAAACAACAGTTTCAGCCAACTCTCCCAAAACAGCTTTAGCATCCCAGTCAGTTAACCACAGAGACTCATACTCATAGAGAACCACACCCCCAGTGATAATAGTCCTCTATTTATTGTTCCTTTAGTCTGATGCACTCAATTTGCAAGCAGTGGGATCATGGGAGTACTTCACCAAAATCAACCTGCCACTAATTTCTGTTCACCGATACAAATGCAAGATGCAGCAGATGGACTGGGGATGTAGCTCAGTGGCCTAAGTGCCTGCCATGCAATTGTGGTTGTGAGTTCGATCCCCAGTACCAAAAAAAAAAAAAAAAAAAAAAAAAAAAAAAAAAAAACCAAAAAACCCCCCACAAAAAAACAGATGCAGCACAATCAATTAAAGCAACTGTCCATTTGCATATGGATAAATATGATTATTCAGCAGGGTCTCAAAATACTTGTGGTTTAACTTTTCAGAACAAAATGACCCACTTTAAAGTGGCAGTACTTGCAGGGAAAAGAAATATGTAAAATCCAGAAGGATAACTACAAGGCACATGTCTGTTTGTTTATTTATTTATTTATTTATTTTATCTTTTTGAGCCTGGGTCTCGCTATGTAGTTCAGGCTGGCCTTGAGCTCACTTTGCAGCCCAGGCTGGTCTTGAACTCGCAACAATCCTCCTGCCTCAGCCTCCTGAGTGCTGGGATTACAGGCATGAGCCACCACGTCCAGCACATGTCTGTTTATTTAAATAAAAAACTAACATTAATGGGGACAAAGTGAAACAGAAAACATGTAACCACGTGAAGTGTTATAACCCAGTATTTAAAGATGATGCATAAACATTATATTAAAATAGGCAATGAGTTTTGCTTATGCATCCCCAGTAGAATATGCAAATACACTATGCAAACAAACATTAGCTGAAGAAGAGCAGCTTACCTCCAAGACCAAGCCTAAAGTAACTACTTAGGATGTCATCACAAAACTGACAGAGGTTGGAAAGCTGTTTCAGATGCTCTTGTAACTGAACTTTAGGAAACTGTACTTTATAAAGAGGTGCAAGAAAACCGAACACATAGGCATCCAAGGTAGAAGGCCTAGAAATACATGAAGGACTTTTTTTCAGTACATAAGAAAATATAATTTGGGATTGTATTTAATTTCTCTTTCAAATATACATCAAATCTGAAGTATACAATAGTGTTTTAATGGTTTACCACCCACTGTTTCATAAAGACAATGTAACTTAAGGTTTCATTCTTTAAGTAGTTTTTTTTTTTTTTGTCTTTTTCCTTTTTATCAGTACCAGGGATCGAACTCACGACTGCCTGCTTGCAAGGCAGGCGCTTATGCGGCTGAGCTAAATCCCTAGCCCCATCACTCTTTAAGTAGTTTTAAAATAACCACTTCTTTATAAACAAATGAAGTTGAAAATAAGAGACTCATTTTCGCAAATGTTAAATAGGCTGGAGGCTGGATGGGAGCAGTTTTCACTGTTTCACATTCACTTATGCAGCATATTAAGTCAATGTTAGTTCACTCATAGAAAAAGTTTCCTATATAAAAACTCATTTTTTTTTTAGTGAAAAACATCTTTTGTGGCACAGCTACAATGGGCTTTAAATAACTGCTCATGGAACATACCTACACAAAATACTAAAATGATTTTTAAGGAAATATACTCACGTATTTCCAAAAAAAAACTGAGATGTTCCCAATCTGTTTGATAGAAGGTTTAGGCATTCCTTGGCATCGCTGTATATCTAATACAAGTAGAATTACATTTCAGAAGCAGCTCTAAAACTGCTTTTTAGGCATCACCTAAGCTCTGATCAGTCAGCCTATGCTCTGTGTCCTATCTCTTCCCTGGAAAGACCTTGCTTGGAGAATAATCCCATCCATACCTGTGTTTCTACTTCTTGAACGTGGTAGAAAGGAGGCTCTCCTCTGGTCAGGAGAATCCTCTTCAGTGCTCCCCTAGACATCTTTCCAGGAAGGATCAAACTCAAGGGAAAAGGAATTTGTGAAGCAAACCATGGCTTTGTCACAGTAAAGTAATTGTCACTCTCTACCCAGAATGTGTGGAGCTGCAAAAGTAGAGCAAAAATATCCCAAGGATGTTCTTTTATTAAAAGATTGCTCAATCAGTGTGAGAATCTCTCATCAATGTCTTTGTATTAAGTGACTTACAAATTTTACAGTTAGAATGACTTAGGATAAAACAAGATTATGTATACTAATTTCTACTATACCCCAAGTACCCAAAACAAAACCTAGCACTAGCACATAGTAGGTACACAGTAAATATTTGATAAATACATGATTTACAACTTATCCAATCCATATATGGTGAAAAAGGTTTCATCTCCCCCAAAGAATTTTTATTTCTAAAATTATATTTCCTCTCATTATTATAAACCACAAACTAGTTGAATGTTTAACACAATCCACTAAGACAGTAGCATAAAAGAATCAAGATTAATATACAAGCAAATTTCCCTCTTGTAAGTCTTTTCGTTGTTTCTCTTCTAACCAGACAAAGTACATTTTCTATTGAGTCACTAAAATACTGTATTCACAGATTCTCACCAAAGCAGGAAGAAGCTTTTCTTCAAGGAGAGCAATGTAAGCCAGTGTATCTGCCCCTTGTTTGGCTGACAGTTCAAAATCAGCATTATATTTCTATTAAAAATCAAAACCAAAGCACTTCAGTAGTCAAACAGTATCCTGAGAATAATGGCACTAAAAGTGGGAAACACAAGGCTACTGAAAACTGTCGCTTAACACAAGTAAGGTTCTTATACACATGATAAATGTTGTGATATTAAAATTAACATTTCAATTTTTGTTAATGAGCTAGTTAAGACCATAGTATGCAGTGCAAACTTAACAAATACCGTAAGAGTGACTATTTGTAAAAAAAAAAAAAAAAAACAGTTGGTTGCATTTTTCTCCATGAAAAAAAGGAAACCTAATTTAGACAATTCTCAAATTGTACTGAGATGAAACGTTTAAAAAGTACTGGCAAAACAAAGTGCAACTTTGCACTCATAAATCTTTGCACTCATAAAACTTTGCACATATAAATCTTTTCACGTTTAAGCATTTAGAATGCTTCTAAGTAAATCGTACCTGTTCAAACATTTGAGATACACTGTTTTATAAAACACACAACCTATAAATAGTTGCTGTTCGGTGGGATCTCTGATGTTACACTCAGCATAAATGTATAGCAATTATGTGACTACACTGGCAATGCTATCAATAAGTGAAACAGTGTAATACCTACATTTCATCTTCTTACAAATTTCAACAAAATTCAAGCACAGTGCATTAAAAATCTATAATGACTAGACCTCATCGTATGACTTCATTCATGCTGTTCAGGCAGTGATTCTCAAATCTATTTTTCATCAAACCCGATGTATTTTCAATTTTATGAGTTGCAAAACAACAACGAAAAATGAGACACTAACATTTATTTTAAAAGATGCAGAAATCAGTAATATACTTCTTCAAAAGGAAACACCTACCTGTTTTCTTAAAAAATTTAGTATTTTTGCAGGTTGAGAAACAATGTCGTCATCAGTTCTCAAAACTGGTACTTCGCCTGTAATAATAAAAAACTTTAAATACAATGCAAAGTGATTTCCTTCAAGAGTTTCCAATACACTAATTATACCAATCGCACATCTGGAAGGAGAAAAAGTAGCAATCACGTCTTAATTTTTCAATCTCACAAAGAGATCTAGACAGCATCTTTGTTTCTCAAAATTTCCACTGATTTGGCTTACAATTTATTACTCAGGGTGATCAAATCAAAAGTAACACATATCCAAGGTCCTGGTAGGATGAAACTAAAACCCCAAGGTGCTATAGGGTATTATGTTTCATGAGTTTAAATGGAATTGGGGGAAGGGTAGAAGTTTGCACTGTACCTCTAGAACCTCTCCAAGTGTTGTCTATGACTCTGACTTTCAAGGGTGCACCAGAAAATTTGGCATAAGCCTGAAACACAAATTTGCAACAACACTTAGCATGCGTAACACAAGTCTGCAGTGCAGCTTTACTTCACAATCCCGGCCTTTAAAGCGGAAATCTCCTGACAGAGACCCAGCTTAAGGACACTGTTTCCCCAGGAGTCCCGGGGCCTCGCAAATCGAAAGCTTTCACTTTACCGCGCAGACAGCTTTGCAAGCTTGAAAAGCTCTAGGTCGAGCAGAGATGACACGAAGCTTCCACTGGGGCCCTGGGGTCACAGGCCGGCTGGGACTCAATAGGAGGCTCACAGGACTGTGCAGCGAGAGGAGCCCCGGTTGACCCAACTGACCGCCTCGCCACGGGCCCGCCCTTCTTTTTGCGCCCCTCTCGACAGGGCAGCCTCACCATCACCACCAGAGACTCGCTGTGTACCGATGGGAGCCCCCAGCCGCCTCCCCAGCAGCTAAGCTCCAGCGGAGCCGCCATCTTGCTTGGAGCGACCTTTACCCCAGGAAGTACTTCCCCGCCCACCTTCCGGCATGTGGAGCGTGGGGTGGGCCCTAAACCGGGGAGGACCGGCGGTCATTGCGCAAACGTACTGGATGCCTGCTGTGAGTTAAAGTATGTACGCAATACTAGAAAGGGCTAATCCTATAGTAAAATAAGAGGCTTTTTGCGGAATTATCTTTAAAATGACATGGGATATGGATGCAACAGGTACTAAGCGCTCCATTTGTTCAGTCCTTTTCCACTAATTTATTAGGCTTCTACGAGCCTTTTTTGGGTGGTTAGGGAGTACCAGGAGACAAACTGGGGTCTCATCTTTGCCAGACAGGGGCTGCGTCACTAGTCTACATCCCTAGCTCCCTCTACCTGCCTTTCTACTCCCCAGCTTAGTATCATCTATGTTGATTTGCTCCAGCCTCCTTGAAAGTATCCACATTCCTGAAATTTAGCAAGTGAATTCGGCAGCCTTCACTGCTACTCCTTCATCTGGAATGCCTTTCTTCCATGTTCAGCAGTTCCCTCAAAAGTGAACTTCACATTCACTTTGCTTGGAATGACTGTAGGTGGGCGCTTACTTTCCGTTCTTGCAGCTCCTTGTATCTATTTGAGTTGCAGGTTCTGTTAGTCGCTGACTTTTTGCCCTTCACAGTACAGAAGCTTTTTTGACACAGAACACGGCTGATTTCGTATGTGTGGGATGGGCCTAGTCATGCAAGGCCCTGTGCTTAGCAGAGCTTCTCCACTAATGCTCTGCTGTCATTGTCCTGAAATCTTAATAGGTTTTTGAACAAGAAGCTGTGGGCCTATTGGGCACAAGCTGGTTTCTTGAAAATTTCTCAGGAAACCTACTAAAGAAGAAAGGTAGGATTTGGAAATGCCATGAATCAGGTAAATTTACTGGCTTCTAGAGATAGAACATGTATGGATTCTTATTTCTAAATGCAGCAATAATCTTTCTGGGATCCTTCAGGTATTCTGAGTGCTCTTTTCCTATGCCCTACTTACATAAATGAGCTTCCCTTAAACAACTGCAAGCTCAAAAGTAACATCTTCAATTTTTCACAAAATAACTTCAAGAAGTATTTGTTAGGAACTCTTACTGTTTACATAACTGTCTAAATTACAATGCCAACTGCTAGTCTTTCCTGTTTAAAAAAATAAGAGTTCTTAGAAACGGGAAGGAAAAGATATAATAAACTTGGAAAAATCGTTAGTAATACTTTACAGCTGTATGTGCTTACTGTTAAACCTACATAATAACACAATTACTGAGCAGCTACTATGAGACACTGTAAGGCTCTGAGACAACATAGACATAATTTAAACCATGAATTCTGTCATCCTGAGTCTACAAAGGAGGCATATACACATCTAAGAATAACAAATCTTTTGTTATGACTAAGTGTAGAGGTGTAAATAAAATACTAAACAGATACAAAGGAGGGACAAGCCTATGTAGGACTAGTGGAAAGAATCTGTTCAGTCTTCAGTGTAAAGAAGGTGCGGTAATACTATTCTCAGATTCAAGTAATGGAACTCTCTGTTTTGAGAATTAAAATCTCAAACTATGAGCTCATAGTTTGGTATTATACCCAGGCCTTTAAATTAACCCTACACAGAATGCAGATTCTCTTTGAATCTTTTTTGTGGAGGGAGTGGCGGAGGTTGGGAGTGTGGTGAAAAAATACTCTTTGAGGACATATAATTACTCGGTTAGATCTGCTCCCTTGAATTGTTACATAGTCCTATGATGATTTTGTTTGCATTAAAAAGAAATTAAATCTCTTCCCTTAGTGTTGAATTAAGGCAGAAAATAGAGTTTCATTGCATCTGATGAGAGAATCCTTACATACAGATTATTTGTACCTACTTAATAGCAATGTTTTTATTATTATTGTAATTCTTCTTGAAAATCTTTGTGTGCTAGATTGAATTTTAAAACCCTGGCATAGCTGGGTTGCACAACCAGGCTTAATACTGTCCCAGAGAACCACATGGAAACCTGAAAATTTCTGAAATTGTCTCTGGTAAGGAGTCTTGGTCCTTGTGTGTTTTTCTGGCTGCTAAGGAGTATTGTTCAGAGTTCATCCAAATTGTAATTTCAGATTCTTACCAGGAAGAATTGTATCTGCAAAACATTCATGTATGTGTGGGATGACTTGAATCACAGCTTTATAATGAGTATTCCAGACAGCATTTTCCCTGCAAAGCAAATCTTATTTTTCAAAAGATGGATATTAAAATGGCTTCACTAGTGGTAGTCAGTTGAACTCAGGGGACTGATTTTGGCATTGATTCCTGTCTCTCAAGTGTCTCTTTACTTGGGAGCCCTGCTGTAGGTTCTCTTAGTAACACCATATTCCTTCCCCCTAATGATTAAAGATCTGTGAAATAGAGCTATTGGCAAAGATGAAAAGTTTATGATGAATGATCATGCAGTATGGTCCCGTATGGGAAAATTAAAGTACCTCAAATGTCTCTTATAAATCAAAGTTTCTGTGATTCAATCTCTGTTCTGATGTAGAGATTCTTGGGCAGAAAAAGGACCAGTTACTGAATAGAATTTGGTGTTAGATTTGGTACCTAAATTAGCCATATGTTTTCAAGTCACTGCTTTTTATCTTGATTCCTAGGCTCTTCACTCATAAGGTGAAGGTTATTTTAACTCTGAGATGCATTCTTCTTCTTCTTCTTTTTTTTTTTTTGGTCCAGGGGATTGGACTCATGACCTTGAGTTTGTCAAGCAGGCACTTGTGCCATTGAGCTAAACCTCTGGCCTGAGGTACTTTGTATATGTAATGAACATCTAATAATAGCTGGCATTAATGCAATAATTTCTATAAGTTAGAAATTGTCATAAGTATATATATGACATAACTCATTTGAGTTTGCAATGACTCCAGGAAACAAGTACTGTTTTGTTCTCATATTCTCGAGGGTATTAAGTAAACTTCCCAAAGTCCCAGGTAGTCTGGTTTCAGAGTTCATTCTGTTTCTCAGCCAGTGTCATTGTGCCTCACATAACCTTTTAATGAGTCCATTAAATGCCTAGTTTCACTCAAAGTGGAAGGATCAATGATTTATATAAGATTCATTTGGCATTGAGCCCTTATATAAGTTCACTCTATGCCTAATTCTGTCAGGTAATAAAAACTTACATCCATACTTTCTGATGGGGAGTTGATAAGACAAGAACTATATATCTGAGTTAACTAGAGACTATCAGAAGGTACTGTTTTGTTAGTAAAACTACAACTCTAATATGACTTCAGACAAAGGCTTTCAATAGCCTGCAATGCTTAGCAAAGGCCTATTGTAGGCTACTATGTGCCCTTGGAGCATGAATACATTGGATTTAGATTATCACAGAGGAAGGTGTTCCAAGTTGCTAAGTTACATGAGTGAAAGCACAGAAATGGGAATAATTATGACAGAGAGTCTGAAGACAAGTAAATAAATGCTTGGAGTTTTAATAATCTAGAGACTGATGAAAAAGAATGTTAATTAACAAGAACAAAAATTGGAAGACAAGGGAATATGTAGTATTAAGGAAGCAAAAGAGTTAAAAGTCTAAATACAATATGAATAGATTCCCATAGTCAAGGATGAAAGGTGGAATACCACTGTTTAATGGCCATCGTAGGAGAAATAGTTTTATGAACCCGTAAACTGTATCAAATGAAGTGAAAATGTAGTGGAAACTGAAGTGAGGAAACGCTGCAACATGTCATTAAAAGATCGCTTGGCACATTTGCACTGAGCATTTTTCAAAGAAGATTGTTAAAAATTAAATTGCAAGAGATTTCTAAAGAAAATATTAGGAAGAGAAGGGGCACAAATAAGGTCATGAGTTATACAACAGATAAAAGTAACAAATTTGGATAGGAGTATAAGATCCAAGATAGGTTTTGAGAGATGACAGTGCAGTCTACATACAGATGAAGAAAAAAGTAACAAGTAACAGCCTGAAATAGGGTCATGAGAGTTAAAAGGCCAACATTAAGAATTTGAGTGGTGGGGCTGGCATTGAAAATGAGATATGTCCTTTCTCTCTGACTCTGGGGTAAGTTTCAAGGAGAGTATGTGATACCGTGTTAGCACAAATGAAGTACCTTCAAATTTTCCTATTACATTACAAAATTTAAAAGAGACAGAAGGAAATATTGGAGTTTAGAAAGGGGTGAGAGCCATTTAGAGAATCTCAAGAAATTTGTTCACAGCACTACTGATAGTGTTAAATGTCAAATATAAATAGAGATAAGTGAGAGCCACAGGCATGCTTATAATGAGGGGGCTTCAAACTATATTGTTTAAAATATTCATGCGTTGTTGTAAAAATGGAAAATGAGATTGGCTTCAGAATGTAACAAGAGCAATTTACATTTTACTAATTTTGTTAGCACAATTACATGGATACATGATTTTTACTAACCCTTTAAGTTTGGGTTTGAAAACAAAGATATGAACAGGGATGTGATCACAGGTTCTAAAAGAAGATGGAACCTATTGCTTAGCATGCTGAAAGCTCAGTCATTTCTAAGTCTAGCTACATTTATTGCAATTGTGTGGTTTCCTCCAAAAAGTCTTTGTTGCCTAGAAGCAACCATGACAAAAACAGTATGATACTGGCCAAAAAAAAAAAAAAAAAAGCTTTCAAAGCCCAAACAAAAAAACCCAAAAAACGCAGAATCAGACCAGAGGAGTGACTATACAGAAGTAGAAGATACAGAAACAACTGTGAACACACTCAAACACCTTATCTTTGACAAAGGGACCAAATACCTTCACTGGACAAAAGTTAACCTCTTTAATTAATGGTGTGGGAAAGGCTGATTTTCCACATATTGAAGATTAAACCTAGACCCCCTATCTCTCACCATATACTACACTAACATAAAAATGGATTAGAGACCTAAATATTAAAGCAAAAACCCTACGTCTATTGGAAGACAGAATAGGTAGAACTTATGAAAAAGATATAGTTGTTGGTGAAAACTTTATGAACAAAACCTCAA